GCTGCGCCCTAAACACAATTGAAATTGTAAAAAAAATCTGTTTTAATTAAATCTGCCTTGCATAAAAATACAAACTCAGACGCAGACAGCGCTCAACCTTTCGCCTTTAATTTAGGAGTTTTCTGATTTGCTGCCATTTTCAATCAATTTCAAACTGTTACAAGAAATATAATTGATGCACATTAAGTGATAAGCTTACAGCTAATTCAAAGAAATTTATATTCTTGATTTAATCTGCAGCTTAAATTGACTTTTGATAACTTTTAAGTTGATTTATGATTCTTACAGCTGTATGAATGATTTTAATTTAATTTTATTTATTTATAAATTGGCAGCTCAGTTGAAGCTGCTGGATAATTTTTTGTGTGATAAAATTTCAAATTGACAGCCAAAATATTATATAAAAACCCCAGTTTTAAACAAGTTCCAGCTAAAGCAGAATTTGGCCAGTTTTTCTTGAATTAATTAATTAATACTTTGAATTAATTACAACTCTTAACTAATAATAAAGTGTATACTTTAATACATTTAGATATGTTATGCTGTATAAGCTGTATTCGATATGGATCCGAACCAGTTTTTTTTAAATTTAAGAACCAATTTAAGCTTAAGCTTTGACTCTTTTTATACCCTTTTCGAGAGTATTATTATTTTGTCATGAAATGTGTAACGCATAGGAAACATCTCCGACCCCATAAGACATATGTATATATATTCTAGATCAGCATCAACAGTCGAGTCAATATATCCATGTTCATCCGCCAGTCTATCTCATTTTTGCTTTATTAAGTTATCTTGACCGAGCTCGGCATTTATAAATCAGAAAAACAAAATCTAATCTCCATCTATATCATATAGCTGCCATAGAATGATCCGTCGAAAAGTTGGTTCTGATATGGACATTTTTTTATAATAAGATATCTTGACCAAACTCGTGATTTATTAGTTCAACATGATCCTCATACTTAAATTTATTCTACAATTATTTTGATATCTAAAATATATATATATAAACCAGGGATTGGTTATTGGGATTATCTATGGCCATGATTTTAATGACTGTCTTTTAATCTTGAACCCATTAATTCGGGAATGATGCATATAAGACCGCAAACGAGCTATCTTGAACAATTTATTTATTTTGTGTTTAAAAAATGTTCATCATTTTTTGCTGGCTATTTATTTGGATCTTGAATCTTACATCTTTACAAATATTCAAAACTGTTAATCGGTTTCCAAGCAAAGTAAAGTCCGGGCTCTTAGCCGGAACATAATTCCAACAGCATAAGAACCCAAACTCAAGCAAATGCTCGAAACGAAAGACTTTCAAAGCAAAACGTTAACCTCTTTGAAATGGACAGATTAGCTACGACTTATGCGTTAACAACGGCAACATATGGCCAACTAGTTCATTGAGCTTTGTAGGATAATTGAAAATGTTGTCGCCGAGTTTATTATAACAAATCCTGGGCCCGAGCTCATGTAACATTTCGTTGTTGTTGCTGTTGTTGTTGTTGTCAGGGCAACAAATCCCATAAACAGTACTGATTGCATTTCATTTAAGTAATGTGAAATGTCATCTTCGAATTCCGCGCTGCGTACATTTACAAATAAACAGGGCGGGGCACAAAAAGTTGGCCCTTAAGCTGAGAGATTACTGTACACAGCCTGCGCCCGCAGCCAGGCGACGGCTGTAACCAATTTGTGGGCATAGGCATTGCGAATTGCTTTTGTGCCATTAGCAAGCTGTTTGCACTCAGCCACACACCAAAAACAATAGATAACAACAACAACAACAACGACAACAACATCATGAACAACCCAACAGATCCGAGTGGCCAGCTTTAGCTGTTGCAAGCTGCAATCCGTATACCCAATTTCCAAATTCGAGAAACGGAAAACGAAAAACTTTTATTTTTTGGTAAATTTTGTAATTGATTTACAAATGCAAATGTTTTGCACACGTGTTTCAAGGCGACCGCTGACAAATGCCCCCCTATTGAATGTCGCCCCTCTCTCCCCCTGCCTGCATTTTAAACTGGTTTAGTGTTTCCTTGGCTTACCCTCCTGCTCATAGCTATATACTGGATCTATGCAATTTCAGGCACGTACCAAATTTCTCGCTTATCTTTAGAGCAGGCCTCTTTATCTAGTCGGGCAGTTGGGTGGGAGCCGAGTTTAAATTTTCCTTTGCTTGCCGGCATTGTTGTTGTTGTTGTTGTTGCTTTTGTTGTTCTCTAAAACCGAGTTAAGTGCCAGAAGAACACACACAATTTGTATGTTCATTGGGTCTAATTGAATCCCAGCTGATTCGCCGTGTATAAATTTTCGATTAGCTGCAACTTAGTTATTCTCCTTTGTATAGGAAATAGGATTTCTTTGTTTTCCTTTTCTTTTTATTTAAATATTAAAATACTACTCACTACAAGTCCAACTTTACAGAATGTATATTTAAATAAAAGTCAAGGTAAGCCTTTGTAGCTGGAAGTCACAGGTGCCAGCGATTTATACAGCTTGGGCAGCTTTGAATATTTTTCAAAAATATTTAAGATTATTTCCTTTTAAAAGAGCACAACAAAAGTAGCAGGCGAATTTCTGAAATTTGTAACAGTTCTATGGCTTAAAATGCTAAGTTTTCGTATTTGAAATTTAAAACGAATTCTCTTTAAATTCTAATTTAAATTGCGCAAGTATGCTTTCTTGGTAAATTTTGTTCAGTTCTTAAATTTCACTCGACAAATGTTAAATGCATAATGGAATACACAATTTATTTGCTGCCTTAACAGTTGTTATGTCCTCTGTTAATTGAAACTCGTTACATCTTTGTTTATAAGAGAATATGTCTAAAGTTTTGTCAAAATACGACCAAATTTAATCATCTTATAGAAGCTTCGCTATACACCCTATATGCAAAATCTCAAAGGTTCTTGTATTGCAAAATAATCCTCTTTCTAAGATATTCTGAACAAATTGAGCATTTTCAGGCTTTACTATTCTCAGAAATCTGTAAAAACAAAAGAAAAATATCTACAAGGGTTTTACATCTGCGGCGTGCTTATATGATATAAATAACATTCTTATTTTCAAGCGGTCAACGTTTAATATATTTTTGTTTAAAATAATATAAAATAAAACATTTGTGCACACATTTTTTTCACAAATATAAAAGGGCCCTTTTCGTAATGGGCATATACAGGGTAAAGGTCATGTAAAATTAGATTGCATGTAAATTAGTGTAAAATTATTGGAATTTGCTGTAAACAATTTGAGTTTTTTCCTAGGGCATGTCTTATTACCCTTAACTGCTTGAGAATTGTAAACAAAGGAATTTTTTAACTCAATTCTTTCGCATGGAATTTGTCTAAAGCTTTTCCAATTTTGAATTGTTGTTGAGCCAATCGCATTGACGCTGACAGATTCCGCTCACATACTTTTACTGTAGTTTTAGTGTCCACAGTAAATTTGGTTTGTCAGCAGACGTCGCGTTCCGCGCGTTCCGGTCTAAGATCCCAGCACGTACGACAGATGGAAATGAAGATGGAAATGGCAAAAGAGCTGTAAGCACGCCCACTCTTTCCCCTCTCTCTCTCTCTTTCTCCCTCTCTCCCACTTTGTCATTTCCTCTCTCTATCTATCTCTCTCTCTAGAGCTCTTTGCACGCGCTTTAACGTTTAATCAGCTGGCGCTAAAATTATTATTTTTTTGATAAAATTTGATCAAATTTTAAAAACTTGTCTCTTTGTCCGACGTCTCGCTTAGCTATTTTTTATTTATGTGTGTATGTTTGTGTGTGTGTGTGCGTGTGCGTGTGCTTGGCATCAACTTGCGAATTCTAACGAATTTTAAATGATTTCATTTCTATTATATATTTCCAAATGATCTCTCATTTTGTTGCTGTCTTAAACACATGTTTTCCCATTTTTTTTTGTTTGTTTGCCTCCAACTGCAGTTAACAAATGAAATAGATTTAAATAAAATATATAAATACAGCTGTTATACGCAGCTATAGAAGGTATATTTATCTGCTTGTATATAGCATACACTAGCAAACAAATATTTGAATTTTATTTATTCTCGTCTTGTGGGTGTTTTATTTGTTTCCAAATTGAAAGCGTCTACGAAAACGTAAATAATATGTGTTTATTCTGGTTTAGCATCAGCATCCGCATCGATATACCTTAATTTTTCCTATTAACGAAATGTCTTTAGATTTAGATGCGATATCTATATGTCTCAGTAAATTCTATATCAACAACCGATAGAAACTTTTCTTCCATGTGGCTCAGCTTTATACTTACTTATTAATATTGTAAATTGAATTCTAATCGAAATATTTTCCAAGTCAATTTCCCACCGTTTCTCAGCTTTAATTTTATTACATTCGTCGTGAAATAAATCACAGAATGCGTAAAAATTTGGCTCTAGATTAAACTACCTTTATTAAATGAGATACTTCTGGTAAAGCTTATTATTATTATTAGTGTATATTATTTATATTTTCTTTCTAAATGCAACCAATAATTAGTTGAATTTATATAGAGTATTTGTTGAAATCCATTTAACTGAACAACAAATGAACTTTATAAATTAATTTAGCTACATTTTCAATAAAAGAAAAACCACTTTGGACACACGTAGAAAATTTTATGCTCTATGTACGCACTCAATTCATGTTGTGCAGTGTTGAAATTGTCTGCAGACGTCTGGGCTACGGCAAGTAGCGCCAGAAGTTTGTATATATTGAATATAGAAAATCGGGCGATTATTTCCGCCGCCAATGCGTGAAACATTCTCTTGCAAGAAGAAAATCTTTTCTTTTTTTTTCACGCCAACATTTTGCAATCAAATTTTCCAAAATATTTATCAAATATTTATGCAGTGCTTGGCATTTAATTAATAAAATTGTGAAAAAAGGCAGTGCAATAAAAAAAGTAGAGAGTTGAAATTAAAAAAAGCTCTTGTTAAACAATATGATAAAAAACAATTGTAAATTGTCGCACCTTTCTGCTGAGCTGCTTGCAATATCAGCAAAATATTAATATTGTATTTGTATTTGTATTTGTATTTGTTGTTGTTTTTTACGGTTGATTATTTCGGTTATTGAAGCGTCTTTGCGCCGGTTTTTATTTGTTGTTGCCGTTGTTGTTTGTTGTTGTTGTTGTTGCTGGTGTTTCTGATGCTTCAGCTGTTGTTTTTCTTGTTGATTGTACGCTTTGTTAAAGCCAATTTAAGCTTTTAATCAGCGCTTTTTTTCGCACTCACACAGACACAAAGCCGGAGGCACACGCACACGTACAGACGCGCCGTTTATGCATTTGTTTTGTACCAACTAATACTCAATTTGTTGTTGCCTTTCAACGCATGCCAAAAAATTCAAGTTGAGAATTTCTTTTTTTGTATTTTTCAAAATATATTTTTTATCACGCACGCCGCCTCGACGTAGATACGAATGCGTAGTAACTGTAACTGCCGACGTAGAGCAACACATCAACAGCGGCAGCAGCGTTTGCCGAGCGTGCGAACAGAACAGCGTCGTCTGCGATACTTGTGCGAAAAAATTTGCTACAAAAGATGCCGCCAATACTTGACGTTTGCGCTCAAACAGCGTCGCACTCAACGTGTGTGCGCTGCGACCGGTGTGAGCGATTAAGTGAGTGAGCAAGTGAGCAAGTTAGTGAGTGAGTGAGTGAGAGGTGTGAGGTGAGCGGCCTATGTTCGTGTTGCTGCTGGCCTGTGCGGGTGGCACATGCTGTGCATACGTCATTGATTTTGGCACGCTGCCAACATGTTGCAGTTCGTTCCATATTGCGCTCAAACCATTTGGTTGTGGCTCGCACACGTTCTTGTTTGGCGCTCGCGCAAACTGTTGCCTTTTTTCGGCCGTGTGCACGTGTGTGTGTGTGTGTGTGCGTGTGTGTTTAGGCTTGGAGCAGCGCGCGTTTATTTGCCTTGGTTTCAGTTTTCGTGCATGGCATGCGAAATAGCTTGAGTAGGTTGGTAGGTCACTGCCTTGTCGCTCTCTGTATGTGTGTGAGTGTGTGCGAGTGTGTGGCGCCCCTTTGCGCTATATGTGTGTGTGTGTGTGTCTGTGTGTGTGTGTAAGTGTGTGTGCGTGTAACTTGCCTATGTCTGAGCTTAAGTTCATTAACGTCGCTCGCTTCGCGCAACAGTTCCACGGCATGCGCTGCCTGCTGCACATAGCCTCACTCACACTCACATATGTATGTATATTTACATGACTGTTAGTTAGTTGTAAGAGATACTCACTCACACACACACACACACACACACACACACACCCATTTTCGGTAGCGATTGCCGTCGCGTCTATTCTGCCTTCTGCTTATTCAATGAATGGCACCGAATTTGCACAGTTGACGTTGTTGTTGCTGTTGTTATTATTTCCTTTTTTGGGTGCGGTCTCCCCCAATACAAATCTGCGGCCAAAGAGCTGATGGATATTATTTGCACGTGCTTGTGTGTGTGTGTGTGTGTGTGTGTGTGTGTGTGTGTGTCTGTGGATTCTATTTGATGAGAAATCATATAAATAAAATGAGCTTTAACCGAGAAAAAACAATAATGCGAAAAAGGGTTTATTTTGATTGGTTTCTATAGATTCCTTAAGCAAATGAAATTGCTAGGAAAGCTTCCACTTTGAACTTTCCCCCAAACAATCAAATCAACGTTTGAATTGCGCTTTTTATACGCACTTTTTTCTTATCAGCTTTCAAGAATTAATTTAGCTAAAGTTTCTTATTTCAATAGAGAACGGCTACACACTTTTTAAAAACGATTAGTTTCTGAGATATTCTTTTACAAACAACATAACTAAATACTTAATCCTGAACGAAGTGAAACAAATTAAAGTAATCAAATGTGGTTGACTGGCAGATACACTGCATCCAGATCTAATTTAAGAATCCAGTTACATTCATTTTGGGCAGATATATATTAATTTTATTAGTTTTAATGTGCACTTAAATTGATCAGTACTTTCTGAACTCTACCAAGTCTAGTAATATCTTATAGAATTTATAGAGTACTTACATTGTCTGGGATGGGATGGGATTTATAATGAAAGACATAATCTAATAATGTAAGGAATTGAAGTAATTCACCTAGCTGGTAGATCGCAGGGGTGTATCCTTTGTAGACATTGTAAAAATATATATTTTCCTATTTAAAAATAATATAATAATAATAAGTAAAGATCTGCCAGGCACATTTATTCAGCTTTATCCCTTAATGTCCATATGCAATTTAAACAATTAATGGAATTTAAAGTTGTTCAAGAGTTGGGTAAATAATAATTATTATGTGCGTCAGTTGGCTGTAATTATTGTCGCTGTGGTGTAGGTTGTGGCAGTGTGTGTGTGGTTGTGTGTCTGAGTGTGTGGCTGTGTGTGTGTGTGATTGTATGTGTGGTTGTGTGTGCTTGTGGCTATGTGTCTGACAATGTATGGCTCTTTGGCGGCTATTTTTATGGCCACACAGTTATAACCGTGTCTATTGCCGTTGGTTGGGCGCTAATTAAGTCTGTTTTCTAACTGCCCTCATGCACATTTTGGCTGGCCAGTGCTGCCGATTCGCTTGGGGGACTCATTAACTGCAAATCCCAAATTAATTGGGTATTAGACACAATGCATTACCGGCTAAGCGAAAAGTGTTGCCATTGTCGCTGACTAGACCTAGGCCCCAACTCCAACTCCGCCTCTACTCAGCTATAAAATGCGCAAATGGGGCGTGTCAGCAGCAGCAACAGCAGCAGGCGCCCATAAAACCAAGCGAGAAAAAAGACAAGCCAAAAGCGACTGCCAACTCGCTTATTGATTCTCTGGCAGCAGCAGCAGAAACCCTGGCAGCCACCCAAGGGCCATTGGCCCATAAAAATATTAATGCAGTAAAAACTGAAATTATTCATATGTTTGGAATACAGCTATCCCTCCCCCTCCCCCTCCCTCCGCTCCCTTTCTCTTTATGCATACATATGTACACTATCTATATATTTAATATTGAAGAATATTTTTCTGTTTATTAAGGCACATTTTGTGCATTGTTGTTGGCTTCCTCTACAAATGCAGATATATACATATATGCATCAAAGTCAGCAAAAATTCAAGTTTCTGTTTGTATTTCAAAACTGCAGACACCAAAACAAACAACACAAAAGCGAAGTCTAGGAGGCTGGGCAGGGACTGAGGGGGGCGGCCCCATAGAGAGACATAAATTGGCATTTTGTCCGGCCGAGGCAGAAAATGTTTTGTTTATTATGGGGTCGCATCTATTTGCCTGTTTGTCCAGGCTCAAAGCTCCTTTTCAGATTTATGCAAAAAAGTTTTGACAACAATTCGCATGCCCTTATTAAATGCAAATTGAAATTTTAAATTTAAGCGAGATACTTATACAGAAATTAATCTTTAACATTTTCATTACAAACAAAAATGTTTAATTAATTGAGGTAAATGAGTTTTCAAGATTTGGAAATTATATACATTTATCGTGACTAATCGGATTTTAAAGGGCAAATGATTGTACTTTTATAATAGTTTCTCTTAGATATATTTTGCAAAAGCTCAGACAAAGTAACGATAGTAAGTCTAAGAAGTCTAACAAGAGCCACAAACATTTCGGAATCATTTTCTTATGTTTTTACAAGGGCTTTTATAGTTTTTTTATTATAGTATTTTATAGTATATGATGTTTTGGCACATACGTTTTATAAAGATCGGAATCGACCAAAAGCAAAAGATAGAATGACATGTCTAAGGAAGATCGAAGCCTTATTGGTTTTATTTATCTAATGTGACCCCAATCTTTTATGTATTTTTCTACTTATCTATCTATCTATATATCTATCCAACTATCTACCCAACTATCCATCTATCTATCTAGCTATTTATCTGACTATCTAGCTTTCATTTTTTTTTTTATTAAAGATAATTCTGAAAAGTAGACATACTTTATTTTAATATAATTTTTTTTATGTAGTATGTATATTCTTTATAAAAAAATGTATTTCCAGTTCAACACAAATCAAAAAGTTCCTTTCCTTTATAATAGGGATATTGTGGAGAGGAAATTAAAAATGCTATATTTGCCATCTTACCCTAAACAATTGTAAATGTTTAATTATAAGCTTATTCTTTTTCTATCGTCTTTATTATTAACTTTTTCCCTGCACTTTTGCAAATTTTTAAATAAAAATACTTCAATTATTTGTAAAATTTCAAAATTTGCTTCCCAGCTAATATGCTTTTTGCTAAGAGTGTGGCAGCTAACTTATAGGTATTTGGATAACCCGCATGCTTATAGGCAAACAATAAGTAGTCGTCAGTAAGTAGTTTAGCCATGAGCTGCACCTCCACGCGGCCCCCTTTCCCTCCACAGTGCTTTATACAAAGATTCTTCCTGCTGTTTTCATTGTTATGCGTAGTATGCACACTTGTGTGTACAAGTAAATGTACTTAGGACATGCTAGCTATTTATTTGACTTCACTCTCAAAACTACACACACACACACACACATCCGGTGGGGTGTGAGTGTGTGTGCTGCAAATTAACCCAGTCACGTACTGCGCTTAGCCGGGCCTAATCAAATAAACGCGCCAAATTAAACAGCAGCCGCAAAAACAACAACGGGCGACAAGTAAATATATGAGTGTGACACCTCGATGCCAGATTGCACAGGCAAATACTAGACGGCTAGAGAGAAAGCGAGAGAGAGAGAGAGGCAAGACAGAGAGAGAGAGGGAGACATATTTTTATTTATCAAGTACTTTAGGCAACGCTCAACAGTATGCTAGCATTTTTGCTTTTATGTATACCCTGTAAGCTTTGTTTAGAAGGGATTTACTAGCTCTTAGAGATATATCACTTGCATAAATATATCTCGGTTTCTTAAAGCGCTTGAGTAAACAAAAATAATCTTGGAGAATTTAGCTATTTTGTAGAAGACAAACAGACGCAGCGTCGTTCTCTCTACTTCTTTGTTATTCGTCGCCTTTTGCTTGCCTATAATATGCAAGTGGTTAAAGCTGCTTACGGAAAACAAAGCCTTTCCAATAGCAAAGTCTGTCTTTAATAGAGCAGGGTAGTTCTTGAAATAGCTATACAGACAATCTGCACACTCTTGCTATTTATACCTTGTTGTTGTTGTTGTTGTTGACCAACATTAACCTCGACCCGGTCAGGTACTAAACATGTTACTTAAATAAGGAACCTCTTAATTTATTAAGAAATTCTAACAAAAACCCAACCCACAACAAATTTAGTAATTGCTCAAAAATATTACTTTAGCTGGAAAAGTAGGACTAAATATACAATTTTCAAGAATATTTAGTTAGTTTTAGTAGTTTTTGGTGGTTTTTTCACATGTTTTTTTATATTTGAAACATTTTACAGGGTATCTGTGCGTTAGGTTGTGCAGCTCTGAGGGCCAATTTCAAAGTAACCCATTTTGTTGGTCTTTTTTTTTTTGCGTGCCACGCTTTGATAAGTTGTTGCAGCTGACGTCATATTAATTATGGTGGCACACACACAAAATGCGATTGGCCTGTGGCGAAGATTCGATCGGGACGGGACTCAAATTGAGTGGCACGGCTTGAGTGTGCTCGCATCGAGTGGCAGCTCGTCCTGTCTGAGGCACACTTGAGTGCCTGCCGTCCAAATGAGCCAAAGGCAGAGCAGCTACCACGTCAGATTTGCGCCTTGAGCAACATGCGTTGCCAGCTTGTTTACATTTTGTTGCTGTTGTTGCTTTTGTTGCTGCTGTTGTTGATTCTTTTTTAACATTTTTGTTTACCAGACGGGGCAGCACGTGCTGACAGAGTACCCCATCCGCTGCGCCCCAGCCCCAAGCGTTTCCCGTTCTCTTGTTGTAGTTGTTGTTGGTGCTTTGGGTATGCGGCAGCACCTGGGGCATGCATATTTTATATGGCCGTAAGCTGTTCCCACTGTCTCAGCGTCTGTCTCAAGCCGCCACTAATCGCAATTGTTGAAAGGGGCAGAACGCACATCATTATTTTTAGCTTGCTTTGGTCGTTTTACAGATATCTTGCTCTTGTTCTGCTTGAGCTAATTATTTATTTATATACTTTGGCTTATTCCCAAAACTGGCAAAGCAAATATCTCAAGATTTGCAATTTTCAATTTGCGCTTTAGATGTGGCATGCGGCATGTGGCATAATCAACAAGTCTGTTTAGCTGCAACAAAAGGCAGCTTAGCTTTTGGCTTAAATATTCACTTTCGCTTTTGCGGTCACAAAATTGTGTCAAATTGTTTTTGTTGCTGTCGCAGCGAAACATTGGAAACTGTTCACTGAATACTTTGAAAGTCGACGTTTTGATACTCTTAAAGTTTAAACTAATTGTGGAACAACTATGCAGTTGGACATTTTATATAATTTTCTGAAATATTTTTGGACTTGACGGAACAGAACAAGGTCAAAGAGGGTTCGTATCTCAAAAATGTTACGACATAATTTAGTCAAGAAATTATTTTAATTATTTATAATAACATTCCATACTTTATCTATTTATAACATTAAAGGATAAGCTTAGCATACTTTTAGGTTGCTTTTCAATTATTAAAAATATTATTATTAAAAGGCCGGAATTGAAAACGAAAACATAGGATTAATCTAAAGATAAATTTATAGTATATAAATAGAAATATTCTTTAAAAAAATTGATCGATTATTGGCGACGTCAGGAATGATCATAAAATAAGGATTTAATTTAATACACAAGCTAAAATTGCCTGTTTTTCGCATCTTTAAAATTGAATCATGTTTTAAATATATTCATAAATATTTTCTATACATATATTTATTTTACTTAGGGCTTTACTTAAAAAATAAAACATTTTATTTAGGTACGCATACAATTTTTACCAATATAGGCAATGCTTTCTCTTTCCAGCTCCTATTATTTTTTACGAAATTGGAAACTATATGCCAACTACTCAGTTTATAAAGTGCTGAAAGTTGCCTTACTATTCTAACTCGGTAAGTACTTCAATTTAATTAATTAACTTTATTTTAAGTCTAAGTATTATGCTTAGAGCCATACGTAAATTTGGTATATACATCGCTAAAGAACAATATTTAATTTTATGTTCTATTTACAACCATTACCTAGCTCTGCATGCACTCAAAATATAAGAATGAAACCTAATTGCTAGATCAAAGTTGACCTCCATATAAATATATGAACTACCTAACGGTTATAACTCAAAAAGCACTCGAGCTATGATGCTGAAATTTGATTTTATTTTCTGATTTCAACCAGCACAAAAGGTGGCCCAGCTCTGCAATTACTAAAGACACAATGATGAAATACAATATGTAGCTCAAAGTTGAACTCCTTGAATCGATACAAAGTAAAGTAAAGGGCTCATGAAGCAATCCACAGCGCGATTTCTTAATGTTTGTATTTCACAAGGTACTCCCGTCTATAGTGATGCAATTTGGTATGTCGGTTAGTGTTCACCTCCATTGTAAAAGTAAATATTATGACAAGCTCTTGTCAGAGGCTGAGGCTGAAACTGTCTTAATTAAAGCAGACATTTCAAACAGAGTGCTGAAATCTGCCTTCTCCGCGGCTGTCAGGCAGTTCATGAGATTGGCAAGAAACAGACAGAGAGAGTGAGAGAGGGCTTTCAAATGTTGCTTAAATAAAATACTTTTGTTTATTTGTTTATTGCACAGAAAAGGTTTCGCTTATTGTCTAAACACATTGACAAATCACACCCAGTTTTTTTGTTGTTGTTGTCTGAGACTTGTCCATTCATTCGATCATTATTTTGGTTTTTATTTGCTTAATATGCGAAAGTTACGTATATGTGAGTTTGTGTGTGTGTGTGCGTTTGGTTCTCATTTTGGGGACACGCCCACATTGCGTGACGCCCACTGGTGTACGGCATTATTAGACAAAAGGATGCCGCGTGCGCCGCTTGGCCTTGACAGGATACTCGTAACCCTCAAAGTCATCATCGAGCTCATCCTGCTCATGATAATGATGGCTGTGACTGCTGCGATGATGCTTCTTCGGCTCCTTATGCTCCTTGACCGGCACCGGAATGGGCAGCGGTACTTTCTTTATGATTGTCTTGGTGTGGACATGCGTGTGATGCTTCACCGGCACATGGATGCGAATTCTGCGAATGCGAATGAATTTCTGAATGTCAATGGTTTTGAGAGAGATTCAGTTTGGGTTTTGGGCTTGGACACGTTATGTGCTCTGGTTATGGCCGTGGTCTGTGGACATGTCGTTAAAGGCGTGCACTTACTTAAGCTTGTCGTTTGATGGATGGCCGCTTGTCAGGGCAAACATCATGCAAGTGATAAACAGCAAACTTAATGCCTGCAAAGAAAAGAAAAAAATAAGTAAAGGAAGCTAAAAAAAATGTATATAAAAAATTGATTTGGGCATAAGATTCTTTTTGTTGGTAACTGGGCTATAAGATTTTAATGTGCACGTTAGCTGAGAGTGTGTGCACAAATACACGGCTTTACCAAATCTGAGAATAATATATTTAAAATATAAACTATCGGTAGTATTGTTTCTTAAAGAATATCCTTTGTTACGCCCTTAAGCTTGGATTCAAGAAATATCATTAAATTATATTCAATTCTTCATGAAATACAAAATATTTAAAAAGATAGTTTTTAATTTTACTTAAAATGTGCATAAATAGGGTAATTAATATAAAAGAGTTTTTCTTTATTTTATTTCTATAGTTAACCTATAAGTGCTCTTATAGATGCAAAAAAAACTGCGTTAATATTTGAGTTCTATACATATATACAAAAAATTGTTGTATCCATCAATTTTTTTTTAATTTATATAAAAATATTCCTTTATGAGGCTGTTTAACACAACGTCAGCTAAGCACATTTACACGCATCTCTCTCGATTCAAATATGCTCGAAAGGCGTCTGTTTTAATTTTTCAGGCCAGTGTTGAGTAAGTAAGCTAAGGTCATTAACGGCTTGTTTAATATGTTAGAACCATTACACAGCACTGAATGCATTAGACCTATTTACGCTATGTATCTGTATCTGTATCTGTATCTGTATCTGTATCTGTATCTGTATCTGTATCTGTATCTGTATCTGTATCTGTATCTGTATCTGTATCTGTATCTGTATCTGTATCTGTATCTGTATCTGTATCTGTATCTGTATCTGTATCTGTATCTGTATCTGTATCTGTATCTGTATCTGTATCTGTATCTGTATCTGTATCTGTATCTGTATCTGTATCTGTATCTGTATCTGTATCTGTATCTGTTCTGTATCTGTATCTGTATCTGTATCTGTATCTGTATCTGTATCTGTATCTGTATCTGTATCTGTATCTGTATCTGTATCTGTATCTGTATCTGTATCTGTATCTGTATCTGTATCTGTATCTGTATCTGTATCTGTATCTGTATCTGTATCTGTATCTGTATCTGTATCTGTATCTGTATCTGTATCTGTATCTGTATCTGTATCTGTATCTGTATCTGTATCTGTATCTGTATCTGTATCTGTATCTGTATCTGTATCTGTATCTGTATCTGTATCTGTATCTGTATCAGTATCTGTATCTGTATCTGTATCTGTATCTGTATCTGTATCTGTATCTGTATCTGTATCTGTATCTGCAACTGTATCTGTATCTGTATCTGTATCTGTATCTGTATCTGTATTTGTATCTGTATCTGCATCTGCATCTGCATCTGCATCTGCATCTGCATCTGCATCTTTATCTGTATCTGTATCTGTATCTGTATCTGTATCTGTATCTGTATCTTTATATTTATCTGTGTCTGTATCTATCGGTACCTGTATCATCATTATCTATAGCATCAAGTTAAAAGCTACCCATTTCACAAATTTGTATGAGTACAGGGTATTCTTGTTTCTTTCTGTCTTGGCCTATGTGTGATAAAAAAAAGCTTTAGCGTCTATAAACAAAACAATATAATTAGCATAATGCCCGTTGCCATTTTGATGTTTATGTCTATATTAAGCAGAAGCAAATCTGATTTTGATTGCCGCTGCCGGAGTCAGCACTTGTTGTGGGCGGGGCGCCGCAGGAGCTTAAAGGCCAAATCTAGGCGTAATTACAGTATCAAAGAATATCCCAAAATTCCTCGCCCAGCAGCTGACTTTAAAAGGCAGCTAATAGAAATTCTCAACTGTTATCGATTTTGGCCACAATTCTGAATTCGACTCAAACAGCCGAACCAGCCCGAGGCGCATTCAATTAGCAGTTTGCTGAGAAGCGTGTGGCAAAATGAAAATGAAATTGAAATTGGGGGAAATTGGAAAATTGCTTTTAAATGTTTTTGCTCATCACTTTCCAACTCATTAAATAACATGTTGAGATGTTCGTGTCTGGCCATGTGGCCAAAGTTTTCTACAGGGCCAAAAGAGCCAAAGCAACAGCTGCCTCAAGTAATTCACTAATAGACCAAGTATTATCCATGCTCGTAATATAAATATTTAAATAGTTTTCTTATACAAAGCAATTTGTATGAAAAGTAGCAGAAATTTATATAAACAAATTCTAGTGACACTGGAGAACGCATTTGAATAATTAATTAGGTGTTAAAACTATTTTTGAATGATTATTAAAATGACAATGGAAGCTAGTTGAATAAATAAATTATAGAATGTTTCTTATTAATAATAAGGCGAATCGCATGTGTATACTAAACCGATGATTTTGTTTTAAGCGACCATGGAGGACAGCTGGGTTATTTGATGAGAGTAGAAAGTCCAGAGAGAACTAATACTTATAAACACAATTTAATTGAGATAAATAAGGACAATAATAAGAAACGGATAATAAGATACGGATAATCAGATACAGACCATGGAGGACAGCTCTGAATTCTGATTAATAAAAACAAATTGAGTTAACTAGCTAAGATTTGAAATGAGGGTGAAAAGTAGAAGATTATGTAGGTATTGTTTGTGTGTGAATTAATAATGGAGTATAAATATATTTTTGGACTTGAATGAGTAAATGAAGATACTGTATGGTACATATAAGATTTATGTGATGACAAAGTGGAGAACAATTGAGTTGTGAACAATTTGAAGTATTTGGCCATAAATAATAAGTCCGTCCTGGGACAAGGACAATAAGTTATTACAAGCACCAATTAAATGGACTGTTAAATAATACCATAAAATAACTTAAAGAGCAAGTAGTGTAAGCTGAACAAAATTTAAGTGCTAAAAGTCATGTGGCTTTTAGATGATTTATGGTATCTGCGAATAAAATGAATGAATGAATATGTGTGTGGTTGTTGAGCGCAAATGGCATAAGCTCAAAGCTTGTGCTTGAGCTGGAATGAATTTATGTTTAAAGTCAATAAGATTTGGCGCACTGTAATATCTTTAAATTTAACTAAATAAAGTTTACTGCCGCAATAAAATGTTAAACAAATTGGACTCTATTGTTAATGCACCATGCTTTAAAATCCTTTAATTTATATTGTGTACACTCGCAAACACTTGGCTGACATTTGAAGCAAAGACCAATTAGATTGTCAAACACTTGAGAGCTCTTAAGGGACCGCATAATAAACGCGTGATTAAATGGCCAAACTGTGCACAAACTGTATAAAAATGGATATATATATAAAAGTAATATATATATCTAACGATTTTTGTATAGCTCACTCAAACTGTGTTCACAAAAATGTTTTTTTGATTGAAGTCAATGAATTTGTGGGCCAACAAAGTCGAAATCTTTAATTAATGTTTTTATTTGGTTTATGCGGTTTGAAATAGATGCAATTGTGTGTGCGTGTGTTTGAGTGTACTTTCTAAGCGGGCTTTTGGTGTGGTTTATTTTTTTTTATTTAATGGCAAATGTTTATTCAATTTTTGCATAATTTGTGTGTCCAGCGCGTTCGATGAACTCTGCAGTTTGTCGTTGTTGTTGCGGGCAATAAATTAAGTTAACGCCAGGGGAAAAATGATTTTTTATTTATGCCGCAAGCGAGTAAAAAAAAGGATTTTTTTTATATATTAACGCGTTACTTTTTTTCTTTTAATTTTATTTATTTTGGTTTGCAGTTGTTTTGCACTTTTTTGTTGGTTTCATTTGCTTTTTATTGAAATGTAATTTTAATTAACACTTACGCCTCGGGGCAAATGCATATTGACACGCCGAACTTTACAACTTTGTTGCCAGCTCTTAATTATTTCGTTTTTTTTTTTTTGTATATATATACAATGTGTTGTATTTATTTTTGTTGATTTGATAGTTTTGCTATTCGATAAATACTGTGCAGCGCGTGGTTGGTTTTTTAGCAGCGCTCCAGCAGCGTCTAAAGTAGAAATGGAATTGCACTGGGAACTGGCGCTGGTCGCGGTTTAAATATAAAAAAAATCAAAGAAAAAAAATAAATTTATGCTACAGTGAAACGTGCCACAGCGCGAAATGTTAACTTTAAGCCGCAAGTGAGAGTGCAACAGAGCGAGAGGCAGCACGTGTGAGCGAGCGAGCGAGCAGGTGTAACAGCAGCAGCAACAGCAACAACAACAAATGTAATGACATGAAGTTGCCGAGTTGGAAGTAAATGAAATAAAAACATAATCAACACACACCGGCTGCAAAACTTGACCAGCTTTTGTTGGTCAGAGAGGCAGAGTGCGAGAGAGAGAGGAGGGGGGCGTTGCTCAGCTTGGCGGTTTTGAATGTGCAGAGTGCGACAACAAACGCTGGCGCTAGCGTTGCGGCAAGTGCTTCAAAGCGTGGCATAAACATTGCAGCAGCTGTTCGTCAAAGCGACTCACGAATGCGCTGCAATTAAGCATATCCAAGAGACGACAATCAAGCATAAGCTTTAAGCAGCGCTTAAAGCTTTTGTGGCAGGTTAAATTTACATCCACTGAATACAATTAAGCTTACTTAAAGCTTTTAAGTGCTCCTAGTAATGTCTATAATGATAATGTCATTTATTCCTGTGATGCCTTAAAATTATAGACAATTATACATTATACAAATAATGATAAAACCACAAGACTTATTCGTTAGCTTTGCATTAAATATATATTTCATGATACAAATTGAAAAAAAAATTTTCTAGGGCTATATATTTCCTATATATAGATGAATACACAGATGCATATAAAGATTTAAAGTTCTAATATCGAAGTGCTAATATCAAACTTTTCTTTGGTATTTTCTATCAAATTTTATCAATATCTCTTCATGTAGAAAACTTCTGCTGTCTATGTCTATGAAATTCCAACAAAATTGAGTAAAATGCTTCAACAATTTTTTAAGTTCCAAATTGCAGTATTTGCTTGAAGATTAAGTTCAATAAGCCGCAACGCGAATTGTGCAGGGTGCTTAGCTCTTGACTGATAGTGAAAATACAACTCGTATAACAACAATAAAGACAACAATTACAACAACAACAATAGCAACAGCAACATTAACAACACCAGCAACAACAACAAACGCAAACGCACAGCGGCAATCACATTAGCAAGACAATCTGGAAAATACTCGCACAGTAAGCAAGAGGCGCACAGAGAGCGATGGGAACCGCCTCGAATACATGCCAACCACATTGTGAAAAGCCGCCAAACATGTAGCCCAGTGGGCTTGGGGACGGATAGAGGGGGGAGGGGGTCTAAGCCGGGCAGGTTGGGGCTCGGCAACTGGCAGCGCCAAAGTCAAAAGCGTAATTGAAGCTTGTGCCTCAGTTAAACGCAGGCGATTATGTCTGCTGGCTTTTCATGGCAAGCCGCGACAGCCCCAGACAACAGACAACAGACAAGCAACAACAACAACAACAATTGGCAGCAGGTTCAACTTGCCACAAGGATTATATAGCCTGAAGCTGCTTCCTGGTTGCCTAAAAGCCCGCAACCGAAACTGTAACCGTAACGTTAACCAAAAACCGAAAACTAAACTGAAACTCGACACCGAAAACCGAACAAAATATTTGATTTTACCATTTGGCTCTTAACAAAGTCATCATAAATTGAGCTGTCTGGCACGTTGAAATATGTCGCCATTTGAGCGGGCCAAAAGCCCCCCTCCCCTGCCCACCCTGCCTACCCCTGGAATTGACAGTTTTTGACTGTGGCAATTTAAATGTGCAACCAACAGCAACGAGCAGCAGTCATGATATTGCAATTGAGTTGATTGGCATTGCCATTCTGGCCAGCGGCCTATTACATCTAATCGGTAATCCATCTAATGCAGGAAGCGCCAACAGTAAAAACAAAGAAATGCTAAAGGCCTAATGAGATAAGGCATTTCATCATTAAAATCATTTGGGATACGACTTTCATAACTAACTAACAACATGTCGAAAATGCTTTAAAGGAAAGTCACAATTGAACTTATAAGGTTTCGGGTTAAAGAAATTAAATGAACGTCCAGCTTAAAGCTTCAGATATACGTATCAGACAAATCTTAACAAGCTTAAAATTCGGTTTTGTAAAGCTCATGAAGTTTTGTTCTATTTCATAACTTTTGAAGAATATGCCCAAAATGTTCACATACGTACATTACAAAGCTTTGAAAGCTCCCAAAATCTACCAAAAATCCAAAGCTAATAGAAATTATAAAACTAAGCTCAATTAAAGCTTAAGTTGACTCAAGTCTTAAAGCGTACACTTAAACTTTATATATTTGTATAGAGGTTTAAAGGCTCCCAAGCCCTACAATAAGTCTCCAGCTTAAAGAAATATTAAACTAAGACTTACATAAAGCAAGAAATAATCTTAATGTTACTAACAAACCTTAAGTTTAAGAATTTTATAAATGAGCTTGCCTTAAGCTTTCAGATCCTTTAAATATGCTCAGTGTACATCCAACATTATTTAGAAATCAATGAAAACCTTGTCTGCAATCAATTTTAACTTAAGGCACATGTGCGTCTTTAAAGCTCAACTTAAGGCTAAGATCTTAAAGCTCGCGCTTCAGCTTTACGCAACTCTTTTTAATTAATGGCCATTTTCTGTAGTTGCAATAAAAACAATTTAGTATTAAGCCGAAAGGTAACAAAGGTGTTTCACGTGCAGCAAATAGAGCACCCAGTGCAACGCGTCTTCAACTGGTTTTGGACGCATTTTCCGGCCACCCGCATTGCATAACAGCAGCAGCTAAAATAATGGCCAAAACGACACTTGCAGTTGGTCAGCAGCTCATCCATTTGTTAACTGGACGGCAACCGAAACATTTTCCGCACAAATTAGCAGCTGGAAGAAACACAAAAAAAAAAAAGAAAATAAAAAGAAACGCAACAAGCAAAGCGTTTTCACTTTTCTTTGGCCATGATATAACATTTGAAATATAATATATAATTGGTGTAAAGATAAATATTTATATGTAATATATATGTATGTATACATATTTTTCTATAATGATTTATTGGCCAGGCCAATTGGCCTGCAATTGCAGAGTTTTCTGAGTACATTTTTGTTTTTCTTTTTTGGCTTTGTTGGCAATTAAATTGGATGATATAATCGCCATCAAGTGTTGGCTCTCATAATAGAGTCAAAATCCCAATGCTTGAGTAAACAAATTGCGACCGGTTGCCGTTTGCCGTTTGCTGTTTACCGGCTCCGAGTACGGCTTTTGTGCGCCCGGTTACGCGGCGTATACATAATGGAAGTGTTGCCAAGTGTCAAAAGGAAAAAATACATATTATTAATTGAACAGCACAGAGCATTGCACCAAAATCGTTTGTTGGCCGGGTCATTAGCAGCAAATTAAGTGAATGTGACAACGAGCAGCAGCAGCTACGGCAGCAGCAGCAACCACAAAGCAAACAAACAACAAACGGAAACAAAAAGAAAACAACATGCAACATTAACAACTTGCAACAACTTGGCTGAAAGCCTTTCAATCAATCTCAATGTCAATATTTGTGCAATAAAAACTGGCGCAAGGCCAAGGGACGCGCTCGCTCAATCAATTGGCCAAGCGAATTGGCCCATTCGTTAAGGCCACATTTGGCTAACCTGTTGGCCAAGCGGCGCCACAATCAAATAACACAAGAAATGAGTGAAACGAAAGCCTTTCGCTTTCAAACGAGGGTCTTTTCTAGACTTTTCGCTGACTTGAGACGAGTTTTATTTTAGCTCGGGACAATTTGTGTGCATATTTTGAGACGAAATAAATTTTATTTTGTGAGAATATTGATTTATTTATAAAGTATTTTAAACAGTTGTAAAAAGAAATATATTTTTTTTCTTCTATTTTTTAAGTTACTTTTTTATTTATTAAGTTTCTCTCTTAAAACGAACTCAAATCTTGCATCTAAGCATGTGAAATGAAAGCTGTTTGGAAGAATTTTTCCACATCGATATTCATATCTATAAGATTTATCTTATCCTATTTTTTGTGTATATCTTTATTTCATAACTCGACCAATCCTCATAAGTCAATTGAATATCAAAGCTCTGAGTAACGATGCTGACTTTAATATTTCAGCATCGATTCCACACGCTTATTCATATTTCGAATCGAATACTTAAATATTTATTGGGATCTTGACAATATTTAAATTTAATTTTATTATATATGTTTCATTATACCCTCGAAGAGAGTATTGTTATTTTGTCTCGAAACGCATAGAAGGAGTCATCGTATATATTCTTGATCAGTATCAATAGCCGAGTCGATAAAGCCATGTTTGTCCGTCTCTGTTTTAAAGCTATCGTCATGTAACTTTGCATAGGTCCTTCTTTCTGTTGCACTAAGTACATATGTCTGCTGGATTGGAGCTTTCATTTTTAATTTGGTTCTAACTTTTTTTGTTTTTCAAGATATATTGGCCAAACTTAAAAAACTTCGGTCTGCAAGGGTATTAAGTCTTCAACGTGCCGAAGATAGGCCTTATTTCTCGTTTTTTATATTTATTTTATTATGTATATTATATTTTAAGAACAAGATTTACGAAACCTACTATCAACTATTTTAATTATTTAATATTTAAATAGATACCATAATATTCATTTAAAAAAGATTTTCGTGAAATATGCAGTGATATATTTAAAATTTAATTGAACTAACTGAGCTGCCCTCGCACGTACACACACGCACGTACACACATATGGTGAGTGTGTGCACTGAGCGTGGCGAAAAAGGATTATCGAATTGTAAGGCCCGGAAACCAATACATCAGCCTGTT